GGGGGGGGGGGGGGAGGAAGTGGCCTCCTAGCCCTGGCCAATGTGGCTCACGGTTCAGTTGGTAGGGCATCATACCATACACCTTCCGTTGCTGGTTCTATCCCGGGTTGTGGGCTTGATCCCCAGTAGGGGGGCGTGCAGGAGGCAGCCAATGGATGTTTCACTCTCTCACCCATTTTTCTCTCTCCCTCTCCCCCTCTATCTGAAATCAATAGACATTAAAAATAAAATAAAAAGTGGACTCCTAGACCAACTAGCAATAGCTACCAAAGGTATGAAGCTTCCCCTTCCCTTCAACCATGCACTGCAGATGTAAGGAAATTATAAAGTGGGATTTTCACATTTATTCCCCAAATCTGAAGGAGGCAAGTCATGAAATTGGAGTTGGTGCCTTTAACTCCTTGCTACTGTCATTTTACCCGTGGTGGTAGGAGCCAATATAAAATAAATGGTGCCACCTGGTGTCCTTACTTGTGTACTGCATTCCCAACAATTGCCATCTCCATCCTCAAGAGTTGTCCCTATTTCTCTCCAGATCACTTTTGTGTCCACTAGTGGTTTTCTCACTCACAGCCAAGTAAAATGGGCTTACAGAATTTCATTGGTCATTCCATGTCCAGCACTACATTGGTTTATCCCCTTACAGAAAAAAAAATACTCTCATCTGAAGCTGAAGTTGCAGAGGTAAATTCAAGCTCTGCTTTTCAGTCTAAGATGATCTAGGTGAAAAGCAACTGAGAACAGTTTAAGTTTGATACTTCCAGTCTAGGGCCCAAAACCACATTTACTTTTATTTTTTCACAATTTAGTCCAACCTTTATTGTCTAGGTAGGTACCAAGCAGCCTTTGAAGTGCCAATATGGAAACAGGTTAGGCTTCGTGAATTAATTCCTCAGAAAATAAGAGCCCCAGGTACAGTGTGAATAAATTATTCCCTTTTTCTCCAAACTAAATACTTGCCATCCATACCCTCCACAATGCAGTTGACCATCCACACTTATTTCACTTTTTATTCTGTTTGTGTATGTCCTAAACATGTATACATGGTTGTCACTCTGAAATAGGTGCCTAGGAAAAGGTGCATACATTTGTCTGTTTTGCACTATGCCCATTAGACCACTTTTTAAGAATTCCCCCTAGATTTAACATGCCAATAGATGCAATTATAAGATCCTTGAAAACTAACAGGCTACAGTAAACATTTGCTCACCAATTCAAATATTTAATTAGCACCTTTATATGCAAGGCACTGTAGGCCAGCTGAAACCACTGCTTGCAGTTGGAAACAGGATGGATCTCCACGGATCTCCAAACAATGCTTCTAAGACTGCATTCCTACTTAACCAACTCTCTTCCAACAGCAGAGTTCACAATAGAGAATCTAGTAGAGCTTAGATTTGTCTCAAAATTCCCAAGTCATCCCAGTTTTTAGCCATCTCACATTCCACACACACCTCCATCACTGTTACTCAACATATCTTTGTAGAGTTCAAATTTAATATACATTTATACCTCAATTCAAAAGTTATATATATCAAATTTCTAATTTAAAAAATGCATTTTTGACCGATCTTTTTGTCTCCAAATGGCAGTGAGTCCACGTACCTCGAATTTTCTGTATCCAGCCATTCATGTTCATGTAAAATTTCATTAGATATAATACATGAAGTATTGATGCTCTTACAAGTACTTTTTTCAAGTACTGATGCTCTTACAAGTACTTTTTTCAAAATCAACAATTTTGTGCAAGAAATGTATTCTGATTCTTGGTTATCAATCATTCTTTATAAAAAATACCTGAAAATCTGCCTACTCTGTGCATTGTTTTTTACTCTTCTGGAAGGAACAAGGGTTATCATTTTTTAGACCTGTCTTCAAAGTGCATTTACTTCTCAATTCACCTGATACCATTCCATTAGACTATCTCAACCAATATAATTAGGGAAAAACAGCAAAAAAACATACTAAACTCAGCCCGAATAATATATGGATTGTCTGCCTTTCTTCTGTATTCAAAACATTTTCAATCTTGTTATTCAAAGGCTTGTCAGGTATTTCATCCGTAATTCTGGGGGAAAAGACCTGCATTTACTATAAAATGACAAAATGTAATCTGTATGAAGTTTATATAACTGGATTTGATCTGTGACCTAGAGTAGTTCAATATAAAGGATTCCTTTAATAAATTTTTATAAATCATACTAATTAACATACGTATTTTTTAAATATATTTTTATTGATTTCAGAGAGAGGGAGAGGGAGAGAAAGAAACATCAATGAGTGTGTCATTGATTGGCTGCCTCCTTACATGTCCCCTACTGGGGATCAAGCCCACAACCTGGGCATGTGCCCTGACCTGGAAGTGAACAAACCCTGACCACCACCTGGTTCACAGGTTGATGCTCAACCACTGAGCCATACCAGTCCAGCAGTTAACATATATCTTGATTTAAGATCATCTATTGTGCCTTGGCCAGTGTGGTTGGTTACAGCATTGTCCTACTGTACACCAAAAGGTCGTAGGTTCGATTCCCAGTGAGGACCCATGCCCAGGTTTGTGGGTTCGATCCCCCATCAGGGAATGTGCAAGAGGCAATCAATCAATGCCGCCCCCACTCTCTAAAGCAGACTCAATCCCCAGTCGGGGCATGCAGGAGGTAGCCTATCAATAACAACTCTCTGATCACTGATGTTTCAACTCCCCCTCTCCCTTCCTCTGAAATCAATAAAAGATATATTTTAAAAAATCAACTATTGTCCTTACCTGCTAATAAGACTGTGTTTATGTTGTTATTCCCAAGGATAACAGATATATTACCCCTGCAATACACTGGTAGGTACTATGAGGCTAGCCTTTCTTCATTGTAGAATGATTTCTTGAGACACATACTTGCCGTCAAGTTGTACAAAATTCTGAAGTCTTCATGTAAAACATGCTTCAAGGATTAGAACACCAAAAACTTCCAATGGCATGTT